AGCGGTAACAAGCTATTGCATTAAAGTTTTGCATGCGTCTTTAGTGATAGAAAGTCGAATATAAACAACGTTCGAGATCCGGTGTTAAAAGGATTTTTTAAACAGCACTGACCCGTTTCTCCGTTTTCATTTGAATATTGAAGTTTAAAATAAAGTATAACTCATATTCGATGAATCTAGGGCAAATAAAATAATACGCAAATTAAACAGTTACTATGAGATTCTTGAAAAAAACACAAGGATAATCAGACCAGGTGTTCCGGAACGGAAATCGTCTTGTGCCTCATCTACGACAACAGCCATAGGAATCTAGGTAAAATACAATCATGTCATGACTTTAAAGCGATAACTGGGATATCGACAGCAAAACAACATGACACTCTATTGAACATTATCACAGACATCGATCCTCACGTCATACAATGAACTATGATATTTCCCAGAGAGGTAATAGTCTATATCGCATTTCGCAATGTTTATATAATAGCAACATTTCTTGCACTGAATGACAAGTGAAATAAGTAGTCAGCATTCCTCTCTCTGTACATCTGCTGGAGGCTGGTCAAGTAAGAATACGCCATTGTCTCCCACTATTTCTGCGCTTCTGGTTTTCAGAAGACCTGAAGGAGAACACAGTCGTTTTGCGGTGTTTTGTCTATCTGTCCTCCCCTTTCCCTGGTTTACCATTACACAATGTGACATGAGTAGGAATATGATCACCAGCTATGATTCTCTTACTATCATTCAGAAACGAACCATCATTTGAAATTGTTCCATGAGTATCAGAGCTTCATGCATCTTCCCTCTAAGTGACCACATCTAGTGATTGACCATGGTTGTGGCCACAGAAACCAAGTAGTTAGGAGATATGGCGACCCTCAACACTAGTTAGAGCATCATAGTAGAAATTTGGGTCACCCTTTAGCGATTTACCCTTTGGTACTATACAACCTGCTGGTCTAGATAGGTAGAAAACTTCTCAAAAGATTCTGAATGCTGTATCCCATGTCATGAGAATATCTGTGATCTTTGTTGGAAAATCAGGTGTCTCACACTTAAGCATTTCTGGTTGGATTATTCTTGGTTTGTTTGGGTTTTACGTCCTATTAAAAGCTATGGTCATTTAAGGACATGCCATGTTTTTTGTGGCGGAGGAAAGTTCCCTGATTATTCTATTCTGTCCTGCAAAGCATCGCAGGACATTGATATTCTGACAGTAGTAGCGCGATCTGGTTAGGAGCACGAGTTGATGACCAAGTACTGACTGAGGCAATACCAATAGACTACGAAATTGTCCATGATGCCTAACATTGCAGGCGTTGTGACGGAATAACTGTCTTCTTTAAGAAATGCGCGAGACATATTCTGCCTTCGAGAACATGACATGCTCTGTCAATGTGGGTAATAGAGTATTCAAATGGTGTATCATATACAAGGTTCCTTTATCTGAAATTGTAAATAAACAGTATGTAAACCAGGAAGCGTGAAAATATACAGTATGGAAACAAGGATTCAAATAGACATTATGTGAACTAAGGAATACAGTAAAACCTCGTGACACTACCATCATTTGTCCAACAGAAATTTCAGCGATATACAGGTGTTCTTAATCAAACAAGGAGAAGGGACATTGACATATGTTGGCGGTAAACGAGGTGGCAAATGAAACGAGGGGCATTGTATCGAGGTTTTACTGTATACAGTGAATCAGGGTCGAATGGAAATATCCCGTATGTAAACTCCCGTATGAAAATTCAGAATTGATATAAGGATATAATGAAAATATACAGCAGGCAAATTAAGTATCGGTGGAAAAAAGTTACCATACAATTTAATTATTTCTAAAGTGAAATTGTCACATATAAACTTACTAACCTGTTGTGTAATATTTGTGTATGGTATTTTATTCAATGGACATGGACATTTTCATAACGATAATACCTTTTCAACTGATTCCGTACATGCAATATCCAATTAAATATAGTTTTCTGTAATTAAGAATCCTTTCTTTTCTTCATGAGAATATATCTTTAATGGTGGCAGGTCGTGATAGAGCTCGCTGTTAGCATTTTGTAAATGAGCTCGGTGTAGGCAGGTTGCAATGGTGTTCGTTAGAGGCACGTTGAAATATTGCCCGCTTCAATTCATTTGAAATTATCCATGATTTGCATTTTTTTTTTGTTTTTCAAAAACATGTAAGTAAGTCATACATGTTTAATGAAATAAACGTGGCGTGCGTCGTACAACATATCAAGAAAAATCATAATAAAAAACCCATATTGTATGTAATTTTCTCCACGTTGTATCTTAGCGAACTGACACATATGCCCATCGTTTACAATATGATTCCACACGTCAGCTAATCTCAAAAAATTATTTTCACCGGTATATTGCGTGCTAAGAGGAAATATAATCATTGTAAAAACTGGATGATTTGTCTGATGAATGTGGGCGCCTCGTGCTCAAGGTAATGTGTTCCGCCAATCAGGAAATGTTTCTCAATGTCTTAAAAACGATTCGACCTTGAGCTCTTGCCTATCAATCGATATATCACATAAATCGATATAAAACCGCTCTGACAGAGTCTCGTGTAATGACTTCTGAGTCGAATTGATTCTTATGGCACATACAAGTATACTTCAAAATATCAAGGCATGATGTTTTACACGAAACAAAAATTACGATGCTGGAGGCGATAAACCTAGACGCAAGACAATAGACTAGATTTCTTGTTTGCAGCTTTTGATTTTAGTCAACTTGTCTTAAATTTTCAAGACAAATAATGGTCAGGTGCAGGACATTTATCACGAAATATCTCTAATATGAAGAATGGTCAAGTATGTGCCAAGTGAGATATTCCTAAGGCATTTACAATTGCGACTGCCATGTGCACTCCAAAGTACTGCCCAATACTTAGTGTATGTTCCAAGATATAAAAGCTCTAAAGGACTACCGAACGCTTATTACAAAGGTCTAAGATTTTGAAGGTAATTTGACCAACCCTGACCGAAAAGACCAACCTCTGCCATGGCTTGCTATGCTCAATTGCAGCATTTCCATGTATCTTTAACTCAGAAGCCCGTTATTCTAACTGATCAGCGTATAAAAAGCATGTAATTTGTTGATTTAGATTTCAAAACACTCGTTTATCTAAAGGGAAAAACATGTATAGTAGACCGCTACTTTTAACTGAAGAGTGATGTCACGATGGTTTGTTGTTTTAACCAGTTGTTTTAAATTGACGAGTATCACAGACATAGACGCAAAATACTCGTAACACTAAAACTTAAAGATCTGAGACCCTCACACTGAGGATGAATATATACAAATGGGACTGCGGTAGCTAAGTGGTTAACTGGCATTCTGCTACCACTAGCCCGCCACCACTGGGTCGCGGGTTCGAGACCTGCGTGGGGCAGTCGCCATGTACTGGCCGTAGGTCGGTGGTTTTTCTCCTGGAAATCCAGTTTTTCCTCTACCACCAAAACCTGTCCTCAAATGACCAAAGAAGTTTATAGGACGTAATATACAAACAAACCAAACAAGCCCATGGCCTCTATCCGCAGAGAAACTTTTCGAAAAAGAGTACCGAGATTGCTTGCCACGCTAAAGGACCAAGATTTGAAAGACTTGGTACTCAGACTGTCCGTCCTTCCATAATGGATGAATATCTAAATAAAAAGGCTTTGTTCTCTTGTTCTCTGAAGAATTGTCGCAAAACCTTGGAGCTTATAAAACTGCGAGTCGTAAATGCCTTCTAGAAGTTTCCACTGGCTTTTAATGTGGTAAAATTCGTTTTAGAGTTTTCTATGAAGAGCGAAATTGTCTTCCTAATTCACGAGAAAGCGGAAACAGTGGAGACGCTGATAGGAAACCAAAACTGATTGGTTATAACTAAATACTGACAAAACAACCGAAAGAACAAGGACGCGTGTGTGCACGTGCTTGTTCTGTACTCGAGTGTTCAGGCGGGAAAGGCAATCGGAAATTAGACGACGATCGTATTCAGATCAAATAAAAAAGGGCAATATCGTCAGCGGATTAAGTTGTATCGTCTAGACGACGTTGTAAGGTCTGGATGTGTCTTTTTTGTATGATCTGTGATTCATTCATGAAACTTGGCATCGGTAGATTAAAGCGAGGAACACGCTGACGCTAGTGCAACTCAAACATTTTCGGTCTTCTAAATTTGTATGGTAACGACTGAGACCATTGTCATTGCCCATCCGGGTACATATCACAATACAGGTATATCTCTCAGTAAAGTCTTGAAATCGATAGGTGCAAAGAATATAGAATTGCATCTGTAAAGTTTTTTTTTTAACTTTTTAATTTTTAATTCTGAGCTTGTTTTTATTTTAAAGAAATAATTTCCGTTGTTTAGTAGATTTTTAAATCCAAAATGATATGTATTTGCAGAATAATATATAAATCAGAATATTCATAACATGAAAACTGGTCTGAATATCTTTTTAATAACTTTCAGTCGTATTTATTCTATTATACGTAATCTACTGAAATAAATTACTGTAATTCAAATAGATGTAAAACAGCGACCGTATGCCTTTAAAATAATTTCGCATAAAAGATATTGATCAAGAGTTAACATAACAATTAAGGTGATATGGGGCACGAGCATCTTGATATGAATACCTCTACATGAATAATGTATCATATTACATAGTGAGTACGCCTCTCCCATACCGTAATGTTCTGTCTCTCCTGTACATATACATGATATAAGTTTCCCCCTATATACAATAAACAATATCATCATACAAAATGTTCATGAATGACTCGAACAGGGCCATTGAATCCGCGTAGTTTTCGTAGCAATGTTAAAAGATAGCGTAGCGTTTAAAATCAATTTAATACACGTGAGTTAATTTTTATATGAATACCGCATCCAACCGACGAAAGCTCTCCACGTCAAAACCCCGAGATGGATACAAAGGAGAACACGGGTGTATTTTAATTGAATGTGTACCGGAGTCGCTTAGTATACAAATATAACCAGGCGGTGACTAGCAGTGTTCTATGTTCTGCGTTGCTTTAATACACGAGTATGTATACGTAGGCTATGCATGGCCACTAAGGACCAGAGTTTAGTTAGTTTGTTGTATCTGTGCAAGCGTATATACCGACAATACATAGGAGAGACTGCGTGCATGTATGCCTGCTGGAACATTTCACTGGACTGCCATCAAGCACGTGCATGTAATTATAATTATGTATCACGTGCATAACGACTTTTGTGTTTGCTCGTAGGCGACATTTGAAAATACTTTTTAAAAGAAGAATTATATTTATGATAGTTGTGTGTCGTTGTATGCTGTCGTGTTTCCGTTGCTGTGACCGCTTGGAGAGTCCTGCCTGTTTTCACTACCGTTGTGGTGGTATATGTGTAGAAAGCTGTACACACACACACAGGTATAATGAATAAACGTATTCAGATACCTGGTATGATGAATTAGTCACGTGATCACCACTAAGGGGAGGAGCAGAAGAACGTTTCACACACGTGAAAAAATTCAGTCAATGCTCCTGGACAGACAACTCATACGCTCCGAGTGAAGATAAAAAACCCGAATCATCATCTGTCATCCGATTGTCGAATTCGGCAGCGGACCATTGTCAGTCATAGTGGATATTTACACATCAAATACAACTGGATATTTGACGCTCAAAGTGTGTGAAACTCATTTTTGAATCAAAGAATTCACTGAATTGTGGGTCTTGTGCATTATTTGTCAATATTCACACATTTCAGTTTTTTTCTTTTACTTGCCAGTTTTGTTTTCTGGTGTCGTCGTCTGTTCGCTCGTTATAAAGCAGATGTGCTAATTTGTTAGCATCCCGAGGCAAAGGATCATCGGGAGAGTCCTCTGTTGTGATAGTATTTCCTTGGGATACTATTAATAATTCAATCAATATATTTCAATGGAGCGCTTAAAAATTCCTATTCAGAACACGACAAAATAGGTGAATATGCATCGTCTTCATTTAAACAGTGCGGGATATTAAAACGGATCCTTCTTTCACATAAAAGGAATATAATTAACAAAGAAATATTAACACGAAGAAGAGAGACATTCGTTCATGGAGATGTTTTGCTTAGAGGCATAAAATTCCTGTTTCAAAAGAGTTGTACACGTTTTGCATTTGGTTGCAGGAGCTAGATTTCGTAATATTTTTTTCCACAATTTTGTTTGGTTCTCAGAATCATTCACTATACAGCAGAAGAGAGAGATACAGACGACAGATTTTCGACATTTGCAGACGAAAGATCGGTAAGTTGATAGCGCTGATAAGAAGGTTGAAACCGTACGCATTTTACGTTCGTAAGTATACAGAGGTCTGTACAAAGTCATGCCATTTCGTTAGCGAACATGTAATTGCAGAAACAGTTCGGAATGTGTGAGTTCAAATATGCAATTACCATTATCAGAGTCTTGTTAAGCACCCTACATGTGCATGCATGTCTTTCACCAGTTCGTTTATTTTTTTACCAACCCGTCTGTCAAATTTGATATTTAGCCTTTACAATGTTTCTAGCGTTGTGGTTTGTATGTGTGGGTTTGTTTTGAACGTTTAATTTTAATGTTTATATTTTCACTGACGTTCGGTTTTCGTGTACTGTAAATATTAACGTGTAGTAATCAAACGATCACTTTTTCTGCATGCTTTCATGTTTTCCTATATAAATATTATGATACGTGATGAATATTTTTATCGACATGAACCCACTCCAAACGAAAATAAATATTGCGATGTTATCGTAGCTTGTACCGCTTTACTGGGGATGCATTTCCACTCAATAACCCTAATGCATATTTTAGTGTTCATGTTTTACACCTAAGAAATAATAGATATGGGTAAAAATCCAAAATACTCGGTGCGTTCCCTAATCAATTACATAGTGACATCATTACTCATTTAATCTCTATAATTCGTTGTAGACGTGAAATAATTATTCTGGAATTCCCAAAATTGTCTTATCTATTTCCTTAATAACTCACATTACCGTCTCTTATAAGGTAACTTTCTGTTCTATGTAATATATTACTGTCCTGATTATTTGTCATTTGTATTAAAAAAATCGCTATATTTCGTCCTGATAAAGATCTGAAAAATTCCTGATTTATTGTTTTGAGAACATATAATGTTTTGTGGTTTTATGTTTGAAGTTTGAAAGATTTTATGGTGATATCATAATGACGGGACATGTGTTTGCAATTTTTGTGGTTTTTCCTTTATTCGTGTGATATGTTATCATGTTATCTGTTTTAAATATGTTTTTTTTTGGAGGAAGAATAAGTTACTATAAAAAGAGATCGTATGTTATTATATGAACAAGATACTTTTGTAATATAGAAAACGAATGCATTTTTTAAATATAAAATTGAAAACGATCCTTTGAATGAACACTCGAGGTAGATAACGATCACAAACTGGTTTTAAATGTAAAACTGTTTTACGTCACATACCATCTTATCATAGTTTTATCTTTAATTTTTTGATCTTATCTTATAAATAACAAAATAAAGGGGTCAGTTTTCGGTGCATGCGTGTTTTTTATGTTCACACAAAGCAACTCGACGGAACCACCTATCGGCGTTACAAGGGTATGCAATACAAGTTTGCTTCCTTTCATACCGTTGGTCCTAACACGCCAGCTACTCTGAGATGTCGTTCGGTATTTATTTGAAAAAGGAAAACTAATACTAGGTGTGTGTTTATACAAATTATTTAGGCAACACACCTGTACGTGAGCTCTGCTTCAGGTGTAAAACTCTCAGGTACGCAGAGTAGACGGTACACCTGTGCAAGGTTTGGGATCTTGGATCGCGTGACATTCCGATCCTACGTCTAAAGTAAAGAATACCTCTATTATAATAGCTCAATACCGCCCGAAATCGACGGTTTCCTATCTGTGGTCAGCATACACAACTGATTATACCAGGGTGCCCCGTGTCCGATTTACTTCGCGTGTTTATTGGTCGAAGCAGAGTGCATAGCTTTTGACACACAAGCATTGATTATAGATTCTTGTGATTGAGTCCACGTCCCCTTTTCTTCCATAGTTCTTCACTCTGGTCAGCTGATAATCTCCCTCCATTAATTGCGCGAATCTCTGGCACAATAAGCTATCTTCTGTAATGATATAGTTAGTGGAAGCTACAAACACGGTCTATACAGATCCCAATTCAAATATGGGTAGGTTTATCATGAATTGATTACCGTTTTAAAAGTATCATTACTCAAACATAAATATAAGACAGTTGTCATTTAATTCTTATCTTTATACTTTTGCATTATTCTGATACTAATTATAAATATTTACATTTATGATCTTTTATAAAAAATAAAGCAACGACCATTTTTAAATGTGAAGTTGCACATGCTTAGCCAAGCTGACATCGTATAATGACCACTTCAAAGGTAAAAAGGAAATTGCCATCTCTGGTGATCTATTTTTATTTATACCCTCGTTGTTCTGTGCCATCTTAATCGATTATCTTGCGAGATTTTTTACTTGTTGACATGTTAAAACTGTCTGTTTATGTATGATTAGAGATACAAGACTTCAAGATAGAAAAGCGAGATATGATTTCGTTTTTGTGCTAATCTTTCGAAAATTAATAAAAAGGACGATATTACCATGTGTTTCGTATTCTGATAGTATAAGATATAGTCAATCGTTATAAACCAACTTAATTTTGAGTAAATTTGGAGAATAATAAGATATTATTAAAGTTATTTTTATGAAAGGCATGTGTCTCGTTATCTTCCCCATAAAAATATCTTTTTAATACAATCTGATAAACGTAATTTACCACATACCCCGGATGTCACCTTGCTTAAAGGTATTAAACTCAACAACGTCCCACTTCAAACAATGGAGTTCGAAATACTATTGAACACCTGTATTTTGCAGGTAACATCTCCACACCTGTGGTGTTGGTGATTAAATTACCTGTTTAGCGGTAATAAAATACTTATTTTACCTGTCTAATCAGTTAAGAGTTGAACAGTATTGTTGAAATCTCGGAGGGATGACCCTTCAAACTTTGGAAACCTATAAACCATAGCTTGGTTGTTATACCCGGTTTTTAAAATTACCTGTATAGAATACAGCAAATGGCACCTGAATTTTGTTTCAATGAACTTTAAGAGATATCAAATTTTAACTAAATACATTGGATATAAATCGATTTCAAGGCTTATAACACATGTGTCGTATATATTGTGTTCGGTCGTTCACGCCTTCTCATATGCTAACAAAATCAGATTATGATGTCTTTAAAATCCTTTGAAATATATCAGATGACATTTTGACTGTTTGTCTGCGACACATATTTACACATGTTGTTTTGTATTTTTTGTTCGATTCATTTTACCCGATTAATCAAGAATTTATGGTTATGGAACATTAATTTAATGGGAAATATGAACCCTTCAGAAATAAATTTGTACACACCCAAAATGAACTTAAGATTATATATTGATACGGATAATTATATTATTCGTTCTAGATTTAGAAGTTAAAAATAATAACATTGTGTTAAATAAGCAAAATCTAAGGTCGTATAAATTCACTTATTCAAATCAAAGTTTCAAGATTTCGTACAGGTCGTGAATTAATAGACACTTTGGCAAATATTAAAATAAGAATATCTTCATATATGAATTTGATTTAAATTACAACTATGCATTTATCCCATGATAAATGCTTTTACATGGACAATGAATTAATTAAAAAGACTGTGATTTGATTAACAAGTATTATCAACTTTACGGTTCGTAGTGTCAAATATCGAACATATAAATGGAAACATGAAAATAGGTTTACTATCCTACAGATCACGTGTAAATATCTAAGTAATCTTTCAAACAAAAAGTGAAGTTTGATTTTCTTATAAATATTTAAATTCGTAAGAAAATCTGCATATATAGAAGCAAAATTTATTCATGTAAAATTACAAGAATTATGAAATACCTGTATTTTTATGTAATTTCAAGCAAATAAATTAAACAAAAAATGAATCATAAAGACGCGAAGCTCACCAATCATTCTGAACATTTATCCTAGTTGTCTCTGCTTGACTAATTCGAAAAACAAACACCTTCCCGATTTTTGTCTTCTTCAAGATGATTCCAACACCTTTTAGAATTATGATACGAGTCGAAAAGGTGTTAGATTTATTTCGTGGGTGTAAATATTGACACCTTGATTTAAACCACAGAGAGCCATTAGCTTGGTAAGTGGCACTCGAACAAGTCCACCGGCATTTCAGTAAATAAAGCACAGGATATCTTCACAGGTTTCCACTTAGGCAATGCTTCAACAGGCATACGGAGGGATTTTCGTTTTTGTTTGCTCATTGTATTTTGCTAGTTTGGTAAAAAAAAAATCGTCGTTGACAAAAGTGTCATGTCGATATTTAATTAACAGTAAAATAAACTGGATTTATTATTCAATACAAATCGCACAAAGCCTCACGTTAAATATTGATATTTCTTATCATTTCTGTGGTTTTCACTTGTTAACGAAATCGTAACACTACAATAATGGTTCAAACTGACAAATTCAATGTTTTCCTTTTGGCCACACAAGAGGTGTGACGTTACAACAAGTCATCACATTTCGATTCAATATTGGTTTTTTTCTGACCCCGTTTCTTTGAAAGTCTTGCATTCCTGTTTATCGAAATTGTCCAATTGGTCACGGCTATCGCGACAAAATATTTGCCTACTGATTAGTTCATTATATTGGAGTGTGATACTTGAGTATAAGGTGTTACCGTTCGTTACCTGGACAATGTACCCTCTTCGGGGTATACAACCCAAAAACCGGGCATCCTCTGTATGGTTAGGTCAAAATTAGATCGGACGTAGAACTGCGGCTATCATAAAAAAAATATATACAAATTTAGACAACTATACTTCTTAAATTAGGATTCAATTTAATCACAGTCCGATAAAAATAAGGATTTATTTTTATATGATCAGTCAGAAACCAAATCGGTTGAATATTTGCCCCAGTTATTTTTGTAATTAAAGCTGACTGTTCTTTAAGGGATTGTACCCAAACCTTTACGGTGACCGTATGTAAATAAAGCCTTAACATGCCTCCATCGGGCCTTTGTATCCCTACCTATTCTGTTTGCCGTCCGAAGGGATCTGACCGCGCTCCTTAATCCCAGTTTGACAATGGTACTTTTCCAATAGGCCACTTGTTCACGCTACCGAGCACTCGAGCCGTACTTGAAAATGACGGAATTTTTGG